CGGTGCGGCAGGTACCATGACCGAATGTCGCTAACCTTACAGCCCGCAGCTTATCACTTTTTCGGCTACCAGTGCCCTCTAACGCTGAGATTATGCACCAAGATAATTAACATTACAATTCGACATCAGCAGTCAATCATAATCCGAAATGAGATCGGTGACTGAATGAAGGCAAAAGCACATCCTATTTATAGGTTTACCTTACATTCCGATATGAAGCTATCGATCGAGAGACAGAGTAAGAGAGCAGCTGGTTTCTGAGTAAATAATTATCAACCGGCCTATTGGTGAGCGGTCGTCAATGGGGCTACATTTTCCGGTAAAGAACATGAGAAACCTTCTTGATTTAGCCTGGAGTACCAATCTTGACGGCCCATTTGATTGAAAACAACAAAAAGAGGCGAAGTAAAAGCGGAAACAAACCTTGTTCTTATCCGCGTGGTAGATGAGGTGTTTGGCTTCAGCCTCGATGGGATCATAGTCAGTCGGCATGATCCACTCACCGACCTCCGAACGATCCATACGCTTGTCGCCATTCTTGTCGCGGTGCTTGAGGAACTGGTCCTTCTCTCGCACGGCCCACTCCGCGAGGGGCTTCTTGGGGTCGTATTCCGACTGGTAGGAACGACTCAAGTCGGCTGCATAGAGGTAGGGAGGTAGAGGCATTTTGAGTTATGCGAGTTGAAGGGAGGGAACACTAGAAAGCAGCAACAGCAGATTGTTTCGGGCTTAAAGTAAATAGGCCGAACATGTCAATTGAACCATGGGCGAGGTTCCCTTTGATAGCGGTCAAACTGCAAAATCATCTGGCCCTAGATGAAAAATCCTCTGATGCAAATGTTTGTGAAGAAGCAATCGCATGCCCAAAAAACAACAGGCTGGCACGATCACCCTTTGTTGACTGTCTACGTGAACCAGACGACGTTTGCCCACGCCTGATTGAACAACACGTAGGGCGCACGTAGACGCAAGTTCTCACTCCGTCGCAAATTCCTGCCTTTTTGAATGTGGTCTAGACACAAACCGTGGGTTGGCTGACCACACGATTTCTTTTTTTTATCCCCCAAAAAGACCCAGTACACTTCATTCTGTTAGTGGTACAAGTGTAAAGTGTCAGTGAAAATACCCCCTCCCCTCCCAGTGAAAATAACTTACGGGGATAGAGCATTATGTCACATCTATCAGATTTAGCGGTGCGTTCACATGTCACCCGACCGAAATGGATCTCGATCGCTGGACCACACACTGGATTACCGGAGACAATACGGAGTTGAGAAGGGGTTGAGCGTGGTACCGCTAGC